TTTTTTTGGGGGGGGGGGCTACAGACTAGGCCTCTTCTGCCTGGGGCCTAAGTTCTCTCTCTGGTCTGCTTTTGGTTCTGTTGTGGTTCTTTCTGTTGCTTGTCTGTTTGCAGTTCCAGTTTCTTAAGCTCCTTGCTTCTTTCTTGTGTGTTTGCTGGGCTTGATGGGCTTTTTTGGGGGGGGACTACTAGGTCTTCTGCTGGGGGGGGCTACGTAGGCTCTGTCTGTTGCCTTTTCTGTTTAGCAGGTTTTGTTTGGCTTTCTTAGGCAGGGGTCACTGCTTTGTGTGTGTGCTTCTGGTTTAGTTGCAGTGTGTTAAATAGGCTTTTAAAAACGTTACAGCAGGTTTATTTTTAAGTTAACAAATATTTTAAAGTAAATCTTAGTATAGGGCTTTAGCTGTTCTACCTTTAACTAGGTCAGTGGTAGGAGAACAATAGGCCAGGTTTGTCTTCACATAAAACAAGGTTTAAGTAGTGTTTAATTTTTTAAAAAGCAGTGTACTGTGTTGTATTTGTGCTCTGACTGACCTTTGGCAAAGCCAGGCTCTTTTTCTCTGGTTTGAACTAATTTCTTTTGGTTGGGGTTTTGGGCACTGACTGGTACATTGGCACAGGTTGGGGGGGGAGAGATTGCTCTGGTTCTGCTGCTGGGTCTGGCTAGTGGCAATGCAAACATGCTCCCTCAGTCTATGTAGGCTGCTGCTGCAGAGATTCTCTGGTTTGAACTAAGTTTGGGGTGTTGGGGTTTTGGGCACTGACTGGCACATTGGCACAGGTTGTGGGGGGGGGCAGAATTGGTCTGGTTCTGCTGCTGGGCCTGGCAAACACCACCACCACACCTCACTTAGTCTCTTACAGGGAGATCTGCCTGCCTTTTCCCCACCCCCAATTTCCCATAGGAAACAATGGAGAACTGGGGGCACCCTCTTTGGATGCCCCTGGAATTGGACCCCCTGGTCCAATCTTCTCAAAACTTCGGGGATCATTTGAGGAGAGGCTGGAGCAGCCGTGGTCCAAATTTGGAGCCTCTACCCCCTCCCCCCAGCCCCCTGCAAACTTTCCAGAGGATTTTTGCCATTGACTTCAATGGCTCCATTTGATATAATAGACCTATTGGATATAATGGACCTGAATTTTGGGGGAATTCCGAAAATTTTCGGATATCTATGCTTTACCGGTATAAGTATTTGGTTTTTTTTCGGGAATCCCGGAAAAAATCGGGTTCAATATATTCAAATCCAATTTTTTTTTTGTTTTTTGCACACCCCTAGATGTGGGCAACAGTCATTCTACAGGACCCAAGTCATATTTTGTAAAGAAATTGTTGCCCTTTGTTGGAAAAGATTTTAGTAGTAGAAATATCAAACGACCCATTGATTCACACGAGATGGAAACATTTTTTGTTGACTTTACACCAAAGAGTATAGTTGTTGGCGCACTACTTATGTAAGACGGTTCTATAACTGTTAGACAGTTAGACTTTGTATTTTATTTGCTTAATTATTGACTTGAAATCACCTTGTATTTGCTATATAAGAACATAAGAGATGCCAATGTTGGATCAGGCCAAAGGCCCATCTAGTCCAACACTCTGTCACACAGTGGCCAAAAATACCAGGTGCTATCAGGAGACCCACCAGTGGGGCCAGGACATTAGAAGCCCTCCCACTGTTGACCCCCCCAAGCACCAAGAAGACAGAACATCCCTTGCCCCAGAGTCCCTATCTATAGCTTCTGGCTAATAGCCACTGATGGACCTCTGCTCCATATGCTTCCCTTTTGAAGCCGTCCATGCTTGTAGCCGCCACCACTTCCTGTGGCAGCTGGGTGCGTCATATAAACTATATGTCACTTTTTATTGTTTACAATCTAATAAAAAAAAATTAAAAAAGAAGAAGAAGAAGCACAGCCTTTACTGCAATCGCTCTAAAAGCTTGGAATGACTTCCCCAATAAGATACAGAGCACAGCTTTTCAGGGAAGACGTAAGCCCTGTTTCTCCCTGCTGACTGGCACCATGTTGCTGTTTTTACTGTGCTGGTTATGGCTTTTCATCTGATTTTCTGTAATGCTAACTGATCTGTTAGTCACTGCCTCGAGCTCTGGAGAGGGCCCTGACCTGGAGAGCCCAGGCAAGCCCAATCTCCTCAGATCTCGGAGGCTAAGCAGGGTCGACTCTGGCAAGTACTTGGATGGGAGACCTCCTTGGAATACCAAAGGCAGGAGGACGGGGGCAGGCTTCAATCAGCCACCTCTCTGAATATCTTCCAGGTCCCTAGTAGGGGTCAGTCACCAGAGGTCGCCATGACCCCCAAGTACGCACACAGTCACACGCGTGCACAGACATGCACATATATTTAAAAATACCAAAAAAAGAGAGAAAGCTTTGGAGAGGATGGATTTAATTTTTAATAAGCCAATTAAAATAAACCATATTTTGTGATCTACCGGCTGTCTTCAATAGCCGCTGGCCTTTGCCAGATGCCGAAGATTTTTTATTCCGCACCGGACAAGCTTCCAAAAATTAAACAAACACCAATGCTCATTTGCACAGAGCTTTCTTTGGATAAGAATCTTCAAAACAATACACTCCCCCTTCCCCCACCCCAACACAACTATTTTCCCCTGGGCACTGAGGTACTCACCAGATCTTTTTCTTTCAAGCTCTCTATTAACTGGTCCACTTTCCGCTCGTTTTGATTTGATGTTTCCACGTCATATAAACTGAACAGGATGCCTTGAGAATGTACTGCAAAAGGGGGGGAAGCAACATTTGATTTAGACAGAGCTTGTGTCAACAAAACTCAGGGGCGAAGAGGAAGAAGAAGAAGAGGAGAAGAGATTGGATTTATACCCTGCCCTTCACTCGGGAGTCTCAGAGCGGCTTACAAACTCCTTTCCCTTCCCCTCCCCACAACAGACACCCTGTGAGGTGGGCGGGGCTGAGAGGACTCTGACACAAACTGCTCTTTTTCAAGGACAGCTGTGCCAGAGCTTGTGACTGACCCAAGGTCACACCAGCAGCTGCAAGTGGAGGACTGGGGAATCAAACCCGGTTCTCCCAGATCAGAGTCCGCGCACTTCACCACTACACCAAACTGGAAGAGATTGGATTTCTACCCCGCCCTTCACTCGGAGTCTTAGAGCAGTTTACAATCTCCTTCCCTCCCTCTCCCCACAACAGACACCCTGACACACTAAATAACCCCCTTTCAATCCACTTTCAGTGCACTTTCAAACTGGATATTACTGTGTGAACTGCCAAAATCCAATCTGAAAGTGCATTTAAAGTGGATTGAAAGTGGATTATTTAGTATGTGTGATCGTAGCCCCGGTGAGATAGGTGGGGCTGAGAGAGCTCTGTCAAGGACTGCCCTTGAGAGAACAGCTCTGAAAGAACTTGTGACTGACCAAAGGTCACCCAGCAGCTTCATGTGGAGGTGTGGGGAATCAAACCCGGCTCTCCGTTCTACAGACCGCCGCTCCTAACTACCACACTAAACTGGTATAAGGACGTACAGCCAAAGACACAAACATACACCCTTTATGCCTCTCCCAGAGCAACTAAAGTTATCACACAAGAAGCATTCAGAAAGAACAGATTTCAGAGCAGATATAGTTTTAACACTGTACCTTCATCGTTTGCGTAATTGCTTTTCCCAAAGGCAACGGCAGGCAGCTTCTTTCTCAAGTCCGACACGGCCACGATGTGCCTGGCTTCAAGATTGGCTGGCCTAGTGAAAGAAAGACAGAAAGGGTTCTCGGCTGGACTCCGGAGCTTTCCCATCTGCATTCTGGCAACGGCCCTGACACATACGGCACCCGCTCCCCGCTACAATATTCAGGCTGTCTGGAAACCATAAAGGGAGTTTCCGGGCTCCTTCCTGACCCAACCGGGATGTCCGGAGGAAGCAGGCTTATACTGAATCAGGCTTATACTGAATCAATCCATCAAGGTCAGTATTGTCTACTCAGGCCGGCAGCAGCTCTCCGGGGTCTCAGGCTAAGGTCTTTCACATCCACTACTACCTAGTCCTTTTAACTGGAGATGCTGGGGATTGAACCTGGGACCTTCTGCATGCCAAGCAGAGACTCTGCCACTGAACCACAGCCCCTCTTTACAGCTCTCCAAGGTCTCAGGCATGAGGTCTTTCACATCCCCTACTACCTAGTCCTTTTTAGCTGAAGATGCCGGGGATTGAACCTGGGACCTTCTGCATGCCAAGCAGAGACTCTGCCACTGAACCACAGCCCCTCTTTACAGCTCTCCAAGGTCTCAGGCATGAGGTCTTTCACATCCCCTACTACCTAGTCCTTTTTAGCTGAAGATGCCGGGGATTGAACCTGGGACCTTCTGCATGCCAAGCAGAGCCTCTGCCACTGAGCCACGGCCCCTCTTTACAGCTCTCCAGGGTTTCAGGCATGAGGTCTTTCACATCCCCTACTACCTAGTCCTTTTAACTGGAGATGCTGGGGAATTGAACCGGGGCCCTTCTGTGTACAAAGTTAAAGGATCTGGCAGGAGGTGATGGGAAAGACCTCCGCCTGAGACCCCGGAGAGCTGCTGCCAATCCGAATCGACAAGACTGACCTTGGTAGATGGAGCAGGTGGAGGAAGAGGAACTTTTCTCCCTTTCTCACAATACAAGAACTCGTGGGCACTCCATGGAATTGCTGAGCAGTCGGGTTAGAACAGATAAAAGGAAGCACTTCTTCACCCAAAGAGTAATACGTGGAATTCACTGCCACAGGAGGTGGCGGCGGCTACAAGCATGGACAGCTTCAAGAGGGAACTGGATAAACATGAAGCAGAAGTCCATCAGTGGCTATTAGCCACAAGGTATAGATAGGAACTCACAGGTTGGGGCAGGTGATGCTCTGTATTCTTGGTGCTTGGGGAGGGGGGGGGCAGTGGGAGGGCTTCTAGTGTCCT